TGTTTTTGTCGATCACAGGCCCGCCTTCCCAGCCGACTCACTGGACGCGAGGGATCTGATCCACGAGCGCAGTTAGGAAGGCAAAGCTCTCCAAGTCCTCGGCTCCGAGCTCCCCCTCCCTCCAGACATAGGAGCCCAATTCACTATCAAAATGCCTCCTCGTCCACTGAAACGGGAACTTGTAAACCAATTTTACAATGGGGTCCCCTAGCTCATTCACACGGGGAGTACCGTCCTCGTTGTGCGTCGGTGCGGTCCTGAAGACATTCAGCACTGCCTTGATTGAAAAAGGCTGCACCAATATGTATTTGTCTTTGAAGTGGAAGACGGACTCCAAATAAGCTTTGAACAACTTCCCATTGCCTTACTTCAAGGAAATCCACCCCCATTTACGGTCGACCTTGCTTCTCTGAAGGTGGAAGCAGTAGAAGAATAAGGGAATGGTGGCCCCTATCTTCAAGTAGTCGTAAACTATTTCAAACGCTCGCATGAATGCAATTCCGTTTGGGTGCAGTTGGGAGGGAGCCACGCGCAGGTGCCTGAATACGGCCATCTCAAAATCAGAGAAGGGGAGGCGAAGACCCACCTCACAAAATACGATGTCGTACATAGGAATCTTCCTCCTATCATATTTTGAGCAGATTCTGCTCTCTTTCCCGGGGATATATATCGACCATTCTCCTTGGTTCCCCTCCTCGTGAGTATACACATCTGTAAAAACATCCTCCCGACGCTCAAAGAAATACGAAGGCCAGTCCCAAGGAACGTTCACAACCCAAGACCGAGGATCCTCCTCGTCTTCGGGAGGAAACAAGCAACCTTGATTAGAGGAGTTCATCTCCTCATCACCTCCCCCAGCTTGCTGCTCCGACTGATTCTGCGCATTCCCAGAAATCTCCAGGATGCTCGATGAGCTACTCGTCTCATCTGAATAACTTCTCGAAGATTGTGTAGACTCACTCAAGAGATCGACCCGAGCGTTGTCAGCCATAGGACCTGAAAAGAAGAGGAAAAAGATGAGCTCGACATCAATGCTAGAACCACCCTTCCACCACTAGTCAAGCAAAAGGGCACTGGGAAAAAAGGATCTTGTCCCCGACCAGAACCCTCACTAAGGCGCATAAATGGGCAAAAATTACAGAAAAAGCCCTAAGTCCTAAGGGGCCGTCTGCAACACACCACGAAATGCCCGAGGAGATTCCACGGCGGCTCTGGCGATTCTAAACTACAGAAACGCCGCCTACCGCCAACACTCCCCAACGGCATCCTCACAAGCGAAACCCTAAACACTAACTGCATGCATCTCTAGAAAGTAAATGGCGAAAATATGAACTACTGAAAGCGAACAATGGTGGAAAACTGGAAACTTACTAGTTAGTAGAAGAAGAAAGGCTGGAAGTGGCAGCTGTGAGCGACAAAACCCAAGGAACGACGATGGTCGATGATCGAGCTATTAGATCAGTTGAGAGAGAAGACGAAAAACCCTAAACACCCTGCTCCTCTCGTATTTATAGCTGAGGCCATATGTTCGTATGAGACACGCGCCTGAGAAACCCTAGGGTCGTCATCATTACACCTTAGCCCCTAGGTCATCATTACGAAGCTTCGCTAGCACACTTCCTGAAACATGCTACCTCTCCAAATTCAAGGGTCCTAACGACCAACTCTTCATCTCCTCACGATAAAGGCGCAACGAGCAATGCTCATTTCCCCGTAAGACGTGCCCTGTTCCATGAGAAGGTGTTAAAGTCATCACTCTTGTACCCAGAAGCAACGACTTGGGGGGCTACTGTTCTAAACTGGCCTGACAACTTGAATTGGCACAGTCTAGACCTTTCCTTTGGTATGGCCTGCACGTCCATGACCTGAACCGTCTGTTATCTGTTGGGCAATATCGACCATTTTCCCTCCCAAGCCAGCACTGGCCTAGGATGATCGACGAGCATCCTCTCAACCTGCCCGACATCATAGTCATGCAGGCCACTAGGAACCGACCAGAGAGATGTCCGTAACTGGCCCCCTCGGAATCAACGGCTAGTTACGGGCACATCTGCCCGGTTTGACCAAGTCTTGGAAGTTACCTAATTTTACAGACCCACATATCTAGACGTGAAATCAAGAACCAATGGTCATGCGCCAGAGGCATTATATAAACCCTCACACCTGTGAGGGCCAGGGATCGGATATTCACTATTCATCACCAATACCTTAATACTTTTCTTGTATCTCCTTGTTCCCACTCTTACTTGATCGTCAGAGTGCCTTGCAGGTACAACCCCATTTTTTCCTCCTCGACATCACAGCCCGACTACAAATCATCTTTCGGCCACTCTACAGGTTCTGATCAACCGGTAAGATCACATAACAACATAATAAACACGACCACAACTAGTCAACGCGCATCATCATTCATGATTACATCATCATATCATCATCATAACACCATATCATCATATCATCATCTTAATAAAATATCATATAATTATAACCTCGTGTAATCGTCATCATAATGAAACATCATCATAATATCATTATCATGTCATCATAATATCCAAAAATCATCATATCGCACAACATATCTTCATGTCATCGTATTATATAAGGTATCATCCTAATGTCTCCTAATCATCCTCTATTCGTCTTCTAATCATCTTAATAAACAAGCATCTTCGTAATCCAACATGGAGAACCTAACTTCATTCTAGATTAGGTATTGAGAATATACTTCCTATTCTTCATTTTACTCCACATAAATAAAGTTCACCGCGTTAGCTATCCAACGCTTCGAACGACATCCCATTCTGAGTTATAAAACTCAAATTATGACACTTTTAAGAAAATCCAAAACAGTCAATCATTTATGCCTTCCTTCATCCGGCGACACCCTTCCATCGCCAGGCGACACTTCCATCGCCATTTGCTTCGCCCGACGACACTAGGAGCGATGTACTCTAGTAACTTCCTCTTTTCTACCCTTTGTCGCTCCTATATTTATCTGGCGACGTATCTTCGCCTGACGACACTACCTTCGTTGCTCAACAACACAACACGAACATAATTTTTTTGTTGCGATTTTCTACATAAACCAGTCCAATTTTATGATTTTTCCTGTTGTAATTTCCTATTCGCCCGACGACTTAATCATTGCGAAATATATGCATTATATGGAAGCAAATCACATTGCTAAAACATTGTAAAATACCGTAAGTTCTAGACTCAAAATCTTGCCAGTACTAATATAATATTCGATGTTGTTTCATTCTTTTACTTTTTCTATAAGTTTTTAGTTTTTTTCTTTGGGACTTGCCCCTCCATTTTCAAAACAATAATAATGATTTCATTATTACCAAGAAGCCTTATTGGGCGGTGGCCTTGCTGATCACTCAAAGAACTTGTATAAAGTCATGAGAAATTGAGAATACATTGCTAGTCTTGCACTTGCACAGTTCCACTATCCCAACACCACTTTTTCAAAAAGCATGTTCATGTTCCTAAAATAAACCACTTTATCAATAAAGTTACTTATAAAGCTAACTCAAATCCACTACCGCTACAGCTGGTTAAATTATATCAACACCAATGGCGATAATCTTCATATTCTTTTATAAGATAAGATTATTTTAATTTGTTTTACAAGTTTTCTTCAAGTCAAAATATTAATATAACTATTAAAATTCTTTTACGTCTAAGTGTTCTGTAAACTTGTTATTCTAACATCCTATTTTTTCTCTCTTTATATTTTTCATGATTTTAGTAATTTATTTATTTTGATGTGTCAATTCTTTTTATATTTTATTATTTTTAATGACCATTTACGTTAACACTAAAACCTATTAAAATAATTTCATGTTGGTTTATTTTTGTAGAAAAAACTTGTCATTTTTAAAATATAGATAAAACAAATTTTTATTTTACTCTTGTGTTTTGAAAATTAATTTATTATTTTTATTCAATTACTTTCAACTAATACATGTAATAAAATTGTATAAGTTTATTAGAATAACTATCTATTCAAAAGTATATGTTAGACGGTCTTCTTAAAAATATTTAAGATAACATATTATTTTAACTATGTTTTTTTATTTGATAAATGTTATTTCAACGAGAAATAATATTAGTATAATTGTAAGAGAAAAAAAGTGATGCACTAATTGTGTAAAATAATTTTATACCGTTAATCAATTACAATTATATATTTAAATATATTTTATTTTTAATTTTAAAAAATGTTAATGACATGATAGATTGTTGATTTTTTTATTGGTTGAATATGTAAAAAAACTTAACACCGACCGTATATGAATATTATTCTCTAATTGTAACCGTTTTAATATAACACATGATGTTATACGATATTTATTTATTTACTTTCAATTTTTAAATAAAAATATATTAAATTATGCTATTTTTAAAAAATGGTTTATCTCAAGAAAAATGATGTTATGGCGATTTCAAAAATGAAACACCGTTCAAGCGAATGGTTTCTCATTTTTTCTTCATCTCTTATTCTGACAACAATGGTTACATATAATATTTCTCGGATGTGCTTGGAATACAATCTGAAAAATACAAAGGAAAAAAATACATCATCGGAGCAAACGTAAACAACAAAACCAAAAAAAAAATCGTTGAAGCCTTATTGAATGTATGTAACATTCTATTATCTTGATTGCCACAATCTTGCCTAAAGGGTGACACGTTGTCATTGAAATACCAGAGGAGGAGTATCTAGCAGGCGTTGAGGCCTGTAAACACATCCTACATGGTAGGGTGATTTGACCTAAAGGTAGCACTCTATTGACGATTGTTGCCTTGAAGGGCAAGCTAGCGCCTTTATGGAATGAGATTTCTAAATAGAGCATCAATTTCCTCGAAAAAGATTTTACGAGTTTTCATTTACTTCGTTGGAGGATGTCAGACGAGTTAGGCCATCCCCCTCATGGAATCTACAACCATGTTACTTGAAGCTTTTCGCTTGGTCAAAGGATTTTAACCCTAATATGCAGAAAAACACCTCAGCGCAGGTTTGCGTATGGATATACGGATTGTCACATGAATATTGACGACCTAAGATATTGTTTTCCATTACTAGTATTGTGGGTACACGCATTTGCAATGACTTTTTTTTGCCTTAAAGTCAATGAATGACCAAACATTCAGGCACTATGTTTGTATCCTTGTAGAATTGGACCTGTCTCAGACCTTGACTTACAAGGTTTTGGTGGAGAGAATGAACTTTGCTTTCTTTGTGGAAATGGACTATGAGAATCTACCTGCCTTTTGCAACCATTGTAACATGAATGGCCATGACTTGGAGTCTTGCTTTAAAACTATCTACCATATAAGACAATAATATATTCTAGAAAAGCCAATTAAGTCCTTTTTTATTGGTCACTTACCTCTATTCTTAGGGTAAAATAGGTACTAAAATATTAACCCTAATTATGATGCTATTTAAAACCCATATCTTCCTCTTCCACCTCCAAACTACTTCTCTCATCCTTTCTTCTTCTCCTGCCTCCCAACTTCTTCTCTCATCATCTCTTCTTCTTCCGCCTCCCATATTCTTCTCCCATCCTCTCTTCTTCTTCTGCATCCCAACGTTTTCTTCTACTCTTTAAAAGAGAAGAAGAATAAAAACATACTAATGTAAGCAAGAGTAATAATTACTTATTATGCGTTCGTATTCTGAGGTTTATCTGGGTTTGGTTTTTGTTGTAGTTAGGGTTTAATTGACTTACTATAATTTTGATGTTATTATCAAATTATATGTAGGTTGGATCTTTTCCACATCTGTATACGATGATGTGCCACTTTGATACTCTAACATATGATATGGTTATTTAGTTTATAGTTTGCTTAAATTGATTTAGTTTGATGTGTTATTTTGGGGCTTGTGTTATTTTGCTTAAATATGCTCCTGAATGAAAGTTTTAAGTAGTGCTAGATGTTCTATAACATTGTTTATATCATGTAATCACCAAAACCAAAAACACTATTTATTCAATTTATGGACTATGAAAATGTTAAGCATGAAGTGATTACTGTTATGTCGGTGAATTCAAAATTTTCAACCTATCTGCTTAATGAATTCCTCTTCGTCCCAGACCAAAAGACATTAGGGGTTTTCTTGAAATGGTATTTGATTAATCTGAAGAAATGTTATTTCCATTGCATACTACAACTTAAGGGTAATACTTTAATTAATTAATGTATTCTAATTTATTTTTGCAGGAATAAATATGGATATGCCGATAATGATGAGTTGTAAGATAGCTAGCAATTCTTAAAAGGTATTATGTTATAAGATTTACTATTATCCATATGTTTTCTTAGTATGGTGTCTTACTATGTTGGATTGTGTTTTTGAGTTGTCATTCTTTCAACATCATCGTGATTGATGATTCATTGTCATATTATCTTTAAGTGTTACCTAAATGGTTTTTTTTAGGATGCTAAAAGAATTTTAGTTCCAAGAGGTTTTAGTGATAAAGAATTGAAAGGGAAAACTCTCGTTGCGAAAGTATGCTCGAGAAAACATTGTTCTGTCAAAATCGACATTGAGAAGAACCTTCCTATTATTTTTGTTCAGATCGATATTGACAAGAAACTTCTTCTTATTATTTTTCTAAATGTTTATTTTGAGTTTTGACTCAGTTCCACTTTAAAATTTCAAAATGATAAAAAAAAAAGTTTGTACATGTTTCCATGTGATATTATGTTGGTGTATGAGATGCATATTTTTCTTAATCAAATTGTACATATCTATTTTGCCTCTTATTCATCGTGTAATTTGTATTATACAATGCTATTTATACTTATTGTTTGTGTTAATTTTGACAGAGAGGAACAAGTGTAGAGAAACTTATCGAGAAAACTATTAGAGGTTTGTACCATATTATAGAACTCATTTTGTTAATAAAATCATTGAATTTATAGAACCCATTTTATAAAACCATTTTATAGAACCCATTTTATATACTCTGGTTGAATTTATTTTCTTTTTTGTTAATAAAATCATTGTTGTTAGATTCAAGTTTTTGCAGCTCAAAGTCAGACAGGAGAGACATCACTGAATGAAGCAAGCTATAGATCACATGAGATTCTCATATTAGTATGATTTGTTATATTTGTTGAAAAACTTAGTGAACTTTAATGGCACATATTGTCTTACATTTGCTTAACAATTTGGTTCTTTAACTCCAAATAGAAGGGAAACATAACATCTTAAGAGGTTAAATTTATTGAATAACCATCAGGTAAGCTTCTAATCAAATATGACTTATGGATCCATTGATATACTTTTAAAGTTGTAAAATAGTTAATAACATTTGTCTTTCTATGTTACAAATCATAAGATTAAATCTAAGGAAGAATAATACTTGGACTGCAATGTAGCAATCATGGCATCATGATAAGTCATATTTGGGCGATACCGAAGTTTGATGGGCATTATGACCATTGGGCGATGCTCATGGATAACTTTTTGCGTTCTAAGGAGTATTGGGGTATGGTGGAAAATGGGGTTCCTGCGGCAACGGAAGGAGTAATTCTTACAGATGCACAAAGGAAGAACATTGATAATCAGAAATTAAAATATTTGAAGGCAAAGAACTATCTATTTCAAGCATTAGATCGTTCAGTTATGGAGACGATTCTTAATAAAGATACAACAAAGAACATATGGGATTCCTTGAAGCAGAAGTATGAAGGTTCAACATGATTCAAGTGTGCACAGTTGCAAGCTCTAAGAAAGGAGTTTGAAACTCTCCATATGAAGGAAGGAGAATCTGTGAATGATTATTTTGCTCCGACACTTACCATAGAAAACAAGATGAAATCTAATGGTGAAAACAAGGGAGATGTTGGAGTTGTTGAAAAATTATTGAGATCCATGATTTTCAAGTTAAATTATGCCATGTGTTCCATTAAGGAATCTAAGAATACAAACACTTTGACTATTGATGAATTGCAAAGCAGTCTACTTGTTCATGAACAACGCATGTGTTCTCATGTTGAAGAAGAACATGCTTTGCAGATTATTCATGGATATCAAGATAAACAATATGCTCAATATGTAGAGAGGGGTCGAGGTCGTGGAGGTTTTGGACGACGAGGACGAGGACGAGGCAGACAAAGATTTGACAAATCCATAGTGGAGTGCTTTAATTGTCATCAACTCGAGCATTTTATATGGGAATGTTCGAACTAAAGGGAGGAGGCCAACTATGTAGAGACTCAAGAAAAAATGTTGTTGATGGCCTACACAGATATGAACAAGGCCAATGAAGAAGTTGTTTGATTTCTTGACTCTGGATGTAGCAATCACATGTGCGGAAAGAAGGAATACTTCTCAGATCTTGATGAGAGTTACAAAGATTCTGTCAAGTTGGGCAATAATTTCACCATGGTTGTAACAGGAACAGGTAACATAAGATTAAACATAAATGGCGTAACACATATTGTTACTAGAGTCTTTCTTATGACGGAATTACAGAATAACTTGCTAAGTATTGGGCAATTGCAAAAGAAGGGGATTAGTATTCTATTTCAACATGGAAATGCAAAGTCTTCCACCCTGAGAGTGGTTTGATAATGGAAACCAGAATATCTTCAAATCGAATGTTCATGTTGCATGCCATACCGCAACCTGCAAAACCCACTTGCTTTCACACTGTTACAGAAGATTTAATGCATCTTTGGCACTGCAGATATAGACACTTGAGTTTTAAGGGTTTAAATACGCTACAGCAGAAGAGTATGGCAAATGACTTACCAAAATTGAAGTCACCAAATAGGTTGTGCAAGGACTGTTTGGTAGGGAAGCAGCCAATAAATTCATTCCTAAAGAAGAGCGCTTGGAGGGCAACATAAATTCTGCAACTAATACATGTTGATATTTGTGGACCAATCAAACCTATCTCTAACAGCAAAAAGAGGTATCTGATCACTTTTATTGATGATTTCAGTAGAAAAACATGGATTTATTTCTTAACAGAAAAATCAGAAGCATTTTCTTTTTTAAAAAATTTTAAGATCCATGTCGAAAAGGAAGCAAATTCGTTTATTAGAGGCTTGCACACTGATCGTGGGGGAGAGTTTACATCACGCGAATTCACCAACTTTTGCTGTGAAAATGGTATACGAAGACAACTAACAGCTGCATATACGCCACAACAAAACAGGGTTGCAGAATGAAATAATAGAACCATTATGAACATGGCTCGGAACATGCTATCCGAGAAGAAAATGCCCAAAATCTTCTGGCCTGAAGCGGTAAACTGGTTTGTGCATGTCTTGAATCAGAGTCCAACGTTAGTAGTGAGGAATAAGACACCAAAAGAAGCTTGGAGCGGGATCAAGCCTTTAGTTAAGTATTTAGAGTTTTTGGATGTATTTCTTATGTTCACGTACCTGATGCTAAAATAACTAGCTAGATGGTAAAAGTTTGCGTTGTGTTTTGTTGGGGGTCAGTGAAGTATAAAAAACATACATGCTTTATGATCCATTTTCACAAAAGATCATAACAAGTCGGGATGTTGTTTTTGAAGAAGATCAGGGCTAGGATTGGGATAAGAAGTATGAAGAAGCCATCTCATGTGACTTAGATTGGGGTGATAAGGATGTGGAAGTTAATATGGAAGAAGAAAATGAAGTCGGACATGAATCTGATCATAATACTAATACAGAAGAAGAAGAAAATGTCTCCTCTGATTCTATAGTAGAAGAGAACACTTCTAATCCAAATCAACAAAGGTGTAAAAGGCCATCACTTTAGATGGAAGACTATGAAACTGGAGAAGGTCTTTCAAAAGGAAATGTCGATGTTAATTTGGCCATGTTTGCAGTTGGTGATGGTGATCCTACTCACTTTATGATGCTGTTAAAAGTGAGAAATGGAGGAAAGCCATGGATGTGGAGATGGAGGAAATTGAAATAAATGGCACATGGGAATTGATGGGTTTACCTAAAGGAGCAAAGAAAGTTGGAGTGAAGTGGGTTTACAAGACAAAATTTAAAAGCTCTATGAAGCGAAAATTTGACATGATAGATCTTGGTAAAATAAGATACTTTCTTGGTCTTGAAGTGATGCAACGATCAAATGACATTTTCTTATGTCAAAAGAAGTATGCATTAGAGATGCTGCAAAGGTTTGGATTAGAAAGAAGCAATTCAGTGCATAATCCAATTGTTCCATGTGTTAAACTCACAAAAGATGAGTCTGGTGTGAAGGTTGATAAGACCTACTATAGACAAATTATAGGAAGTCTTATGTATCTGACATTTACTCGACCCGATATGTTGTTTGTGGTGAATCTAATTAGCAGATATATGCAGAATGCTACTGAACTGCATTTACAAGTGGCCAAAAGGGTGTTGAGATACTTAAGAGGAACAACTGAGTTGAGAATCTTTTATCAGAAGGACGGAAATAGCGAGCTTGTCGCTTACACTGACAATGATTATGCAGGCGACTTGGATGATAGGAAGAGTATTTTAGGTTATATTTTCTTGTTGAGCTCAGGTGCTGTTTCTTGGTCATCGAGGAACCAACTAATTGTGAGTCTATCAACCACAGAAGCAGAGTTTATAGGTGCAGCTTCATGTGCATGTCAAGCCATTTAACTGAAAAGAGTGTTGGGAAAACTGTGTAAAAATCAAAGCAAAGCCACTATGATTCGTTGTGATAGCAGTTCTGCTATTAAGCTTTCGAAGAATCCAGTAATGCATGGTCGTTGTAAGCATATTGATGTTCGTTTCAATTTCCTTCGGGATTTGACAAAGGCTGGAACTGTAGAGCTGATACACTGTAGCACACAAGAACAATTGACAGATATCATAACGAAACCACTCAAGACGGATATTTTCCTGAAGCTACGCAGATCTCTAGGAGTTTGTTCAGAGAGTGATATAAACTGGTTGCATATAACATTCAGTTTAAGGGAGGATTTGTTAGTCGGTTTTATGGTTTCCTTGTTTTAGGAGTAGTTATTTCCTTTTGAATTAGTCTATCATATTATTAGGAAGTGCTAGTAGTGAGTGAAAACATGAGTAGTTTAGTGCTGGTAGTAGAAACAAGGGTAATTTTTTTTAGTTTCAATTTTTCATCTGTAAGGCTATATATGAGCTAAATCATTTCTTTCAATAGATGAAATATTTCTTCTATCAATTTCCTTATACTTTCACATACGAATTTTAGTTCTTCATAGTTTTGATGTCTCTACCAATTCACATGTGCTTTCATATTGAGTAAGTTCTAAACAACATTAGTATTTTGATCTTTGTTTAGGGTTTTGAAAAGATTTAGTATATTCTAAACAACATTAGGTATCTTTGAAATATAATAGTGAGTAATTTTAAAAATACTGAGTAAAATATAATAGTGTGATGTTTGTGTATTGTGTCAACCTTCATACAATGTTTATGTTTGTGTTAGTTATGTATCGCTAAAAGTGATTTAGAATTGAGATCTTATAATATGTAATGTATGGATTTACTGAACTAAGTGTTAAAAAAGTGTTGTGTTTTTATCTTGCAGCATAATAGAAGGTTTTCACATATGACATAATGAAGGACTAGAGAATTCATGAAAATTATGTTTTGAGTTTCTATCCCTAACTTCAACTTATGTTTTTCTACGTGGAAAAACTTATGAACAAGCAGAAGCATGGAATGAATTGAACTTAAGGAATGAGCAAGATCATTTTGAATTTTTTAAGATCTTAGTATTTGTCTTTATGTGATTTTTGAATTTTTTATGGCTCGATTTTTTTAAATTTAATTGTAATAATTTAGTGCAATAATTTGTACGTTTCTAAATAAACCGGTCTAATTATTTGAACCTGTTTTAATCCGAATTCAGAAAAACCAATATTAAAACTGTCGGAATTAGGCATATAGTTCTCTATGAGGGTTGGACCGAATTGAGGTTTTGAAGTCGAATCTGAATCGGTCTGAACCGATGTCCACCCTTACTAGCCTGAGTTCACGTATTAGTTCTTGCAATTGGTTCGCATTATTTTAGGGAAAATTGTACAACAAGTGCAATCAATAAATACGGATGAGTGGGGGACAAGTAT